AAAAAAAAAAAAAAAAAAAAAAAAAAAAAGAAGAGAAAAACGATAGTACTCAAGTTCTGGATACCAAAATTTATGCAACATATACCGTCCAAACAGAGGCAGAACCGGTAGCCAGCCCAGGGTAGGGCCGGTTGTACCTTTGGGTTATCAATACTTAATTTTCGATTGCGAAGTATGGAGAAAAAGCTGCTAAAAAACCAAAAACATCATGATTGCTTCCACTAGTTCTTATGTTTTCTTCTCACAATTCTTTTTTAAAAGCAAGAAAGAAAAAACCACCTTAGATTTTCTCTATAAGAAAACTAGGTATGTCAAATGACAAAAATCACCTCATTCAGGTGGTAAAATTATGCCCTTTTTTGAGGAACAGTAAGGAGACAGAGTGCCATTTATGAGGAAAGGAGTCTGGGCTTGGCAATTGACCCAAGACCAAGTGAACAGATCTGAACCTTTCACTAAATTTCTTGGCCTAGGGTAGGGCCTAGGCCTAACCCTAGGCCAATGATATACCACCCCTGGGTCCAAATAGAGTAACTAAGAAAAGCTAGAGAACATAAACCCAGCATACCTTTTGTGCATATGGCTGAGACTTCTCTGAAACAGAGCAAACAATTGCTTGACGGGGACTAAGCCAGAAGGGCCATTTACCCTTGTAATGCTCCAAAAGTATAGCAAACATACGCTCAACAGACCCCAGGATGGCTCTGTGTATCATAACAGGTTTCTCCCTTTTGGCCTCATCCTCTGCTGAGTACTCCAGCTTGAAACGTTCAGGAAGCTGGAAGTCAAGCTGCATTGGAAGGGATTGGCTATTAAGTGGCAATTTCAGAAAAGGGTGGCTGAGGTAAAAACCAATATTAAATGTAACATAAGAAACCTGCAATGTTGCACATTGAAATTTTCTATTCAATGCATCAGATACACTGATATCAATCTTCGGTCCATAAAATGCTCCATCTCCTTCGTTAATCTGTATGGTAAAACCGTAAAAGAGATTGCAAACATAGGGCTTTAGAGTTTAGATGCTGAATTTTAGAAGCTATGGAGTTAGAACTTACCTGCCAAGGCTTCCCAGATTCATTTAGTGCTTCTGTAAGAGAAGCTTCAGCTTTTTCCCATGTTGCTAAATCTCCTAGGTATTTCTCTGGCCTCTACAATGCAAACATATTTGTAAAAGAAATGGATTTCAGTGCACTAAAGGCAATTAATGACAGTTAAAATACCAATTCCAACCACACAAATTAAATAGACTGAATACTAGAAGCACAGAACATACTGTAGACAGCTTCAGCTCGTAAGTGAACCCAAATACGTTGTATGCATAATTGATGAATTCCAGGACACCCCTTACTTCATCTTTTATCTGGAAGTAAGCAGCAAAACAGTTACACTAGAAATAGAAAACCTACCATCAAAAATTATTTACTTTTATAGCTCATAAATTAAGATTTAACCAACCTGGGACTCCCTGCAGAAAATATGAGCGTCGTCCTGATACAAAAGATGGACTAATGTCACAGAATGATCAAATTTCATCCAAATATTTAGGGGAAAAGAAAAGGCATAAGGTGGCTACCAAACTAAATTTGAAACTAGAATGACAAATAATCACCATATACATTCTGAATAGAAAATCAATAAAACTTTTTCTTAAAAGAATTTTAACCCGTGAAATAGCATAAAGATAACTATGTAAACGATGGAGTCCAACACAAAAGAGGGTACCTGCTGAAACCTCCTAACACGAGTTAGCCCAGTGAGTGCACCACTAGCCTCATTGCGATGCAAAACACCAAAATCAGCGAGACGAAGAGGTAGTTCTGCACCCCAAATTTTGAATGAGATGGTTGATAGAAGTGACTACTAACACTAGCAAAATAAAGGATTTCAAGAAAACAGAGTGGATGACTTCCTATAGCAGGCAACAACTTTTTCACAGACACAGAATTTAAATAAACCAAATCTATAAAAAAAAAAATACCAAATGCACCAAGGCAGACAAAAGAAGATATCAGGACAAAGAAGCATGCCTTCCAGCCATATTCAATCATAAAAATTTATAACTAATGCTAGCTAGCTATAATTCACATCACAACACCCAACTCTTACAGCTTAGTAAAGAAAAGATCAGACCAAGAAGCTTGAACTGTCAAAAACCAAGCATAAAAAGAAAAAACAGGAACATTGTTCCAGAAACTTTCCTTGAAGCAACATAAAACTGTACAATAATCCCAAACACAAACCTAATAGTCTTACTCATGGTCCTTGGTCCATCCAAAAATTAAATTGGAACAAAAATAGTTGTGGATTGTGGGAACTACTCCTAAATGTATTGAAGAATTAAACTTACCTCTATAAGAACGAACTCTATGCTGAAACATTAAACAATGGCCGGGGCAGTTCATTGGTTTCAATCCAAACTCTTGTTTTTCAATCTGTGCCACAACCAAAAATCATCATACCAGTTAGTTCACATAACAATACCTAATTCATCTATAAGTTCATAGAGACAGTGTATTCCTAAAACTCAAAAAAATAAAAACAATAAAATAATAAAAAGGGAAAAGAAAAGGAGGAGGCAAGAGGTTTTATGAATATAAGCACAATCAAGTGCTCCCACCCCACATGCATCCATTTTCTGTGTAAAGTAGAAAATTAGTGCTTTGGGAGAATTTCTTACTTTTACC